CTCTAGGAACACCAGCGGGTTCCCACCTGCCCAGATGAGCACTCTGCTATTTAAAAAAGCCATCAGCTTTTTCAATTTTATTATTATAAATAAGGTTTTTTTATATCTTGCCCAGGTTCCTGAGGTGGATCAGGAGTGAGAATAGATGTGCTCCAGCTGAGGTGAGCAGTGGAATGAGGGAAGCACAGAGCAGACCCAGAGCAGGACACACCGCCAGGGAATGCAAGGAGAACACGGAATTCAAATCACCAAGTAATTGAGAGATCATTTCCACAGCCCTGTGTGTACACTCAGCATCTCTCACAGCACTTGCAGAGCTCCATCTCCACAGGCTTTTCCCACGAGGGTTGGAAGGCAAATGTCATGAGAACATGGTTATAGATCTTTCTAAAGATGAACCACGAGAAACTCACAGGAAGAGGGGGGGGAGAGAAATCCTAAAGACAAGTTCATTTATCTTCCCAGAGAAGGGAGGGGAAGGATTTCCAGACCCGTTTGCTCTGCATGAGGAAGGGTGTGCTACCAGCCTGTCAAGTAGAAAATCCTTTCCAGGACTGTATTTTTTTAGCCTCTGGACTCACAGCGAAATGCCAGGGATGCTAGAAGGAATGTGAAAACTGTAGTTGTTAAAATATTAACTAACCTTGCCCTGACTATCACATAAATCTAATAGAAGAGGCAGCTAAATGACTCAGCTCCCACAAAGTTAAATGAAAAGAACTATTTGGCATAAAAGAATATTTTATCTTAAAATTTAGAGATCAAGTTAAAAGGACAGTGACCTCCAAATACTTCCCAGGCATATCTCCTTTAGAACACAACTCACATTCAGAGCCCTGAGAAACACAAGCGAGTGTTTGCCTTGGATTTTGGAGCTTTTTGTTTGTTTGTTTCAGTTAAGTCCATCTCAACAAGGAATGTATCTTGCCAAATTTGATTAACACCACTGAAAAAAGCAAACAAGGAAAGGTGTTTCCCCCTGCAAAGCTCCTCAGAAGGAAAACATTCCCACTAGGAGCTTAACTTGAAGACTATTTTACACTTTGAAACAGTTTATGGTTTCTAAATGGCTTAAAAAAATGCAACAGAATGAAAAAACAAAACCTGTTTTGGTGATATTTTTCCTGTTTTGGCTCAAAATGCTCCAGATGGCCAAAGAAGGGGATTCTTCCCCTCTGCTCTGCTCAGTTCACCCTGAGGACTGCCCAAGGACAGGGCTGGATGGGATTTTGGGCAGGAATTGTTCCCTGGCAGGGTGGAGAGCCCTGGCACAGAATTCCCAGAGCAGCTGTGGCTGCCCCTGGATCCCTGGCAGTGCCCAAGGCCAGGCTGGACATTGGGGCTGGAGCAGCTGGGACAGTGGGAGGTGTCCCTGCCATGGCTGGGGGCACTGGGTGGTTCTGTGGTTCAATGGCTGGTCTCACAGGGCTCTGAAAACACAAAGCAGGAGAGATTTGTCTTCCGGTATCCAAATTCCAGAACTCCTCCTAAGACAGGCTGAGGAACCTAAAGGAGTCGCAACAAAAAAGTCCCAGAAACTCTTTGCTGCCCCTCCAATGTCCAAACCCATTTCTGTGTCTCCATCACCCAGTTCATGCTGTGGCCAGGATGAGGCCCCTGCTGTTCTGCACCAAAACCAAACCCAAATGTGAGCCACACACAGACTTTTAGGATTTTTGATTGTTTCCTCTTGTCCACTTAACTTGACCATGACCATGAGCTCATCCTGCTGTTGCCCAGGCCCCAGTGTCACAGTCCCAGAGCAATATTTACTCTTCTGATGTGATTTCTTCTGTGGAGTTTCAGGGTAGAAGGGTTGACACAAGACCATTGTTGGGCTCTTGATCAAACAAGCTGCAGAAATAATGAGGGAACACCCTTCACACGCAGGGTGATTATCTCAGAAAAATCCTAACAACACAGGCAAGTTTCTACCAGTCCATTAGGAACAAATGGAGAAGGCAAAAAAAAACAAAAAGAGGAAAAGAATTGGAACTTCTAACAGACAACGGGGTCATCAATACGGCAGGACTGGCCTCGGGGGGTTGGGAATCCGCTGCTGTAACGCAGAAAACGCGACAGAAGCAAATGTTTGATTTGCATTTATTCCGCTCTCCAGCCCAGCCGCTTCCCGAGCCGCAGATGAACATTTATTTTCCAAATCTCCAGCACTCAGCATGCACTTCATCAGAGGAGGCCATCACATCATTATGCTGCTTAACAGAATGTACCAGCACAAGGCAGTGACCTGACAAACAGCGGCTCCCCGCCGCACGGAGCACGCATTCCATTTCCATTTGGGGTCTGGGGGGGAAGCTGAGACCCATGTGCTTGAATTTCCAGCTCATTTCAAACTAAAAATTGGGACAACGCACGGCAATGCCCAAATTGTTCTGCGAGAGCTGTACACAGCCCATTTGTTGATGCTGAAAGGACTTGTTCATCATTTGGACTCATTTTCGGGATGAATTTCCTGTAACGTTTGAACAGTAGGAAGCTCTTTATTGGGCATCATTAACAAGAAAAAAATAAAATGAAAGCCTCAACAACTAATGTATGTAGGCCAGTATAACTTCACTTTCAGCTGACAGCCCTCAAAAATGGATATTTCCAAGTGGCAAAGCACCAGAGCGAGCCACAGCTGAAAGGTTAATGGTCTGAGCGCTGATCAGCGTCTTTTTAATAAAGTCACAATTTTTAAGCCCAAGAGAACCAGTGACACAATGGCTGACAGGAAATAATTCCCTTCTCATTTACTATTTTTCTTTTCCCAAATCTCAGCACCTGGCCAGGATGTTTTTTTCCAGGCTTCTACTATTCCAGTGAATACCCTCATCAGCAAAGCAATGGCAATTCTCAGATTGAATAGTTTGGCTATTTTAATTTTTTATTTTTTTTTTTTCAGATTTCATTTTCAACGCACATATGTAACTAAAGAGACAAAATAAATAAAGAATATGGAAGTGAGTTTTTTCCCACAGTTAGCCCTGCATTTCAGCACTGGTCATTAATGCCATCAAGCGCTTTTTGCAAGGATGATGAAGCTGGGTTCACTGCCCTAATCAGACTCTGAAATAAGTAATTGCGTTTTCTCCTCTTAACTCCGCTCGCGCTACCAATGAGCTGGATTATCTTTCACTTCCAAGCTGGAGGGTTTTTTCCTGTTGCACCTCAGTGTTAAACACTCTCAGCGTTGCTCTGGGGGGCTGGAGGAGCTGATCCCAGCTGTGCCAACACTGCCCTGGGGACGGGGCTGCCCACGGTGCCTCCCGGTGAGCAGCAGCTCCCCCTGACACTGAAATTCCTCCTGAACCTCCCAGAGCTGAGCAGGAGAAGGCCCTGGGGCTGTGCAGTGATGCTTCAGACCCAGGGGCTTCGAGCAACAGTTGGCTGATGGAAACGTGATGATCACCAAAAAGCATTCATTTGCACTTGTGACTTTTAAAACTCATCTTATTTCCAGCCTTGGGAGGGAGGAAAAGGAGAAGAAAATGCTGCCACAGAGCAGATGAATTTCTGCAGAACAAGGGCTCTGGATTAACCTGTTCTGAGTCTCCTGTAAACACTTTCTGTGCAAGCCAGAATCAACAAGCCCAGTAACACCAGCCCAGCTCGGTTACAGAGATCTGAGAGTGTCACTTTCACTAATTGCGGCTCTGGCTACAATTAGGATAATTTTCTGGCTGCAGTAGAGCAGGTCATGGATGGTGGTCATGGGGGAAGACATCTCTCACCCAAATGATTGAGAGAAGCTATTACCAGAAACGTTCTCACCTCCCGGTCAGCACAGGAGGCTCCATCCCTCTTACTGAACCAAAAATGGAAATAACACCAGCACCTTCTGGAAATGTAGTTTTTTTGTATCACCAGTAAATAAACCTTCCCCTGAACAACCACTCCCTTCTCACTGCTCACCCTGCCAGGATTTCTTAGGGCAAAGCAGGGAACTCAGCCACTGCAGAGCGGGGCTTTGCTGAGGAGACAAATGTGAGCAATTCCAGCAACCCCTCTGGAGCCCCCTGCCTTGGAGGGACGGGAGGCAGCACCGCTGGCCAGCTCCATCCCAGGAACATGGCTGGGAAGGGTCCCGGGGGGACAGAGCCCGTGGGCAGCTGTGCCAGCTGGTCACAGAGCCCAGGAGCTGCTCCAGCCTCCTTCCCCTCCTCTCTGAGAGATAAGCCCAGCCTAACAGCACACGCTCCACCGGGCAGCTTCCATCCAGCTGATGGGGCTGGACAGAGCTCAAAGCAGGATTGTAAATTCCTTTAACAGGGACACAGATCTGTGGGAGATGTTCCATGGCTCTGCCAGAGCGAGGGAGCCAGCTGCAGCGGCTGGTGTGGGGCCTGCTGGGCAGGGACACACACACGGAGCTTGTCGGGATCACCAAGGGCATCCAGCGGGAATTCTGACTGAGCCACTCCCTCCCCAACACATCCTAAACTGAACAGTGCAACGCACGCCCTCAGGGAGCCACAGGTTGGCACGTTTAAAATAAGTTTGTGCTGAACTGAAAGAATTGTTTGGTGTTTTCCAAACATTCATACCACCCTCTTTGAAGCAAACAGCACCCTGTGAGATCTGGACACATCCTGAGTTCCAAAAAATAGTTCCAGTAGTGTTTGAGAAAGAGAAAATAATGAAAAGATGATGCACAAAAGTGGCTCTGTCAGCAAGATTCAGATTTTTAGCAGGAGACACACCCAGGCCACAAAACAGACAGGCTGCACCAGAAGAACTGGGTCACATCTTCAGGATACGAACACATTGCTTTAGTTCCCATTAGTTCATCTCTGAAGTTCATACTCTGATCAATAAAGTGGATTTCTCTGCATTTATCCCCCAACTGGAGCTTCCCAGTCACCAGGACCACCCAGCACAACCCAGCCAGGGTGGCCCTGCCACAGCCCTCTCCTCACCTTCCCGAAAATCCCGAGCATTCTCTTCCCGGAGAATGGAAACCCCGCAGTTCTGAATTCAAGAGAAGGAAAGCTCTTTACCTCCAGAGTGGGGTGGGGGCCCACAGAGCAGCACCATGCCCTGGCCCTGGCGGACGGACACCGTGCTCCTCGTCCTGGTCTTGAAGTTCTCAAGGTCTGCCAGGAGAGAAGGAACTCGGTTAGAGGGTGATCACGAGAAGCACACAAGGAAAATGATGAAATAAAGCAAGTATCAGCTTGGAGGGTGGGCTGGTGGGGTCTGCGTGGGACGTGGGGCAGCAGGAGGCTGAGGAGCATCAACAAAAGGATCAGGAAATGCCCTCCTCAGGCTGGAAAGGGGGAGAAGGTGCTGATTTACCCACAGAAGCAGACACAGCTGGAGAAAACCCCAGCACCTGTAATGCTGGGGGAGGATTGGTGTATGAATTTAGGAAGAATTGCTGCCTTAAATAAGCAATTCCATCCCAAGCTGGACAGCTGGCAGCTGCTGCTGCCCTCCTGGCCCACGTGTGGAGACCCTTCCCTCCCCACCAGCAGCCTCTTGCACCAGCTGCATGTTAAGCCACAGAGTGCTTTAATTAAATTAAACTCCTCCTTCCAGCTCTCTCTTTTTCCTCTCCTCAGGGCCCATGCACTGCAAAAACACAACTCCCTCTGCTCCCCTTGCATGCTGAGCTCACGAGACTTGCAATGAGTGAGGAGGTGACTGAGCTGAGCAGTGGCACCAGGACTGTCACCAGCAGCTGCTTTGTGGGAGCACCAAGACATGGAATCACTCTGGCAGCCTCTGATCTTTAACAATTTCCTGCATTGCAATTCTCTTTTTTCCCCCCCTTGTTTCCAGTGTAGCTGAGCCTTGGTTTGGCAATTACAAACCTGTTGTCAGTGCAGTTGGGAACCAGAGAAAACACAGAGGTGATAAATATTTATCAGCAGGAACTGGTAGGAACATCATTATAAGGTTGCAAGGATGGAAAACTGAGCCTTGATTTTTATCCTCTCTCAAAAATGTTTTCTGCATACATACTTTAAACAATTTAAATAAATAAAATCCAAAGTTGCCACTGCTTCATTTCCCTTTTTAGGAAAGAAACCTTTCTCTCTTTCTTTTCTGGCTTAGGACAAAAGGAAAACAGAAAAAAAATACCAATTAGAGAGATATAATTTTTCACTCCTAAATTCTATAAAATTTACATGTTTTTCCTTTTTTTTAAATTTTTAATCTTATTTTATTTTACAGGAACCACTGTAACATTCCTCTGGCCACCTGCCAGTGCACAGATTTTTATATATTTTGACTGCACACAAGGCTGGATCCCATCCTCTCTGAGGACAGCTGCAGGAGGAGTAACCGCCTAAAGCCCAAATAATGCCTGCAGGAATAAATGCGCTATTTTTTACATCAATATTGACAAGAAAAGGATTGCTACCAGGAAAAGCAGACTCTGCTTGGATGAACATCTAGGAAATGCTGCAAGAATGGTCAAAATCAGCAAATAAAGTAGAGCATTCATCACTATTGCTTGCACTGCAAACCATCAGGCTCTGGGAGTCAGCTCTGAAAAGCCTCGTGCAAGCGCTTCAAATCTGGCTCTGAGCAAAACAACGAGATTAAGATAATTATAAGAAAGGCTAATGCCTCATCAGAGCCATCAGGCCAATTGTGCTTTCTGCAGGCCACAGATTTATTTTTACAACACCTAAATTGGAATGAACAGCAACATCATGAAGATGTTATTAAGTGAGGAGCTCCACTGAGGATCCACCTTGTGATCCTTGAATTGCAGAGTGGATGGTTCAGCTGTGTGGTGACAACACCAGCAAGTTCCACTTCACTTTGTCCCCAAACCTAAGAACCCTGCGTAGCAGAGGGGGATTTCTGTTTTTGTTTGCCCATAAAAAACCCAAACCCAACAAAGGAACCCACAGACCCATCAGAGTAAAAGAGAAAGCTGAGGAAGGAAATATCAACACTGGCAATTCCAGAGATCAATGTGCTGCCAACAATTCTCACAATACCAAACCAAGGACTCCAATGAGCACAGAAAAATATTGTGTGAGCTCCAGCAACCCCAACATCAGAGAAGGATTAGTAATTAGCAATTAGTAGTGATTTCAAGAGGAGAATACAACAGGGGGGTGTGTAATAGGAATGCAGAGAGGTTATTGTGAGTAACAGCTACTCACACCTTATTTAATGAGTTAAGGTGCCTTTTAAACGCTTTCTGGACAATATCAATTCTAAATCAAGCTGAACAGGCGCACAGAAGCAGAAAGTTGCATGTATTATTTAATTTCAGCTGGATGTATTTAAAAGCAGCTGCATGACTTTGGGAAAGTCACTTCAGTTCTCGGTGACAAAGTTTGCACATCTCTAAGGACAAGTACTTCAGCTGTGTCTCTCAGAAGAGGTTTAATTAGCTAATATTTGCACAGAACCTTGACATCTGCTTCTGAAATGCACTGGAGTGCAATGCACACACCAACACCCAGCCCTTAATGGGGACTTGAAATGGCTTTGCTGGCATAATGAGATTTTTTTCTGTAGTCTCCATTAAAACTCTGCCTTAATGCTCAGTGCCACAACTCTGGCAGGTACTGGGAAGTGATGCTGGGCTGACACAGATCCCTGTTCCCCCAAAAAATGCTCCAAAGCCCAGGAGGTGCCAGCAGCAGCTGACAGCCCACCAGCTTCTCACTTTGGACAGGGTATTATTGTGTGGAATGACCTGTTATGGGCTTTAATAAAAGCTTAAGCAATCTGAAATGATCCACGGCCCCTCAAGACTGGGTAGTTTGTCTCAGTAAATGGCATTTGGAAACTTTAATCAAACCCATATGGCTTTGCACAGTAACAATTACCCAAGTTGTCCAGAGTAATGAAAAATTTCCCCAAATTTTGCCTACAAAAATCAGTCTTTATAGCAAAGAAGATTCAATTACAAGCAAAACAAAAGGAACTGCAGCCTTTTCGTCTTTCCTAGGACCTACTTGGGTCTGAGCTTTATGAAATGTGGTAATTCTTTTTCTGAGTGACTCCTAGGCAAACAAAGTTTTAAAGAAACATTTCCCAGATGGCATCGAAGGATGAGCCAACAAACAAGGTCACACCAGCTCCTGCTGCTGGGCTCAGTGTAAAATTTGGCCTCAGATTTCTGTATTTACATCCCCCATCATTTCCAGCTCCACTGATCGTCCCAGTGGTGAGACTTCTACCCCAGCAGAGCAGCGACACAGCCCCCCTCCGTCCCCATTACTGGCTGCAACAAGAACAGAAATAATGGAAAAAACAGAAATAATGGAGACAACAGAATTCCTGAACTCAGCATGCCCTGGGAACTCGACTGGAACACCAAGGCCTGCCTCAGGAGCCTGCCAGTCTCAGGGCACTGGGGACCTGACAGAGATCCCTATTTTTTGTGAAGGCTGAGCTCTGTTTTGCTGGCTCTGTTTGCCCGAGGAGCCTTTCCATGCTTTGCTTTGAGTTTTTTTCCACATGTGCCTATTCTTAGAACACAAAATGCTTCGTAATTATGCCGGTGCTGCAATTAGGAGACACCCCTCTGTGTGAGAGCTATTAAAAACCACCCAAAAAATATTATAGAAAACGAGATGAAGAGTGAATGATGCAAATTGGTGGTGGCAGGTGTCTGCGTGTCCTTTAGAAAGCCAATTTCTGTGACTGTATCATGTGGGAGGCAGCTCTGCTGTGCTGTGCCTTGACTGACACGCTGTCAAAAACTCACCATTAGTGAGCCCTTTGTCATTACAGTTCAAGGTTTTTTTCCTAATGATCAGAAAAGCAGTGTCAGTGCTGTTTTCACCTATTATTCCTGTTTAACTGGTATGAAACTATTTCTGCTTTTACTGTATTCCAACAAAAATGTACACACATCAATCACCGCTCCACACATCAATGGCTTTTAATTGCCAAAGAAAAAACACGGCTAATAGGCTCAGAAAAATAAAACTGTTAGTGGATTTTACTTAAAAGTCTTGCTCTAGAGACTTCTGTAAAGCAAATTTGATAACACATCGTTGATATCACTCAGCTGAGTTGATGTCAACAGCAAGGAGGCTCCAAAGCACAGGACCTGCATCCCTAGGGATCATTATTCCCAAAAAATTAGATATCCCATGAACCTGGGGAGAGGGAATGCAGAGTTCCTGCCCAAGAGCAGGAAGGGTGGGTGATATCCACACATCTGTGCATCCAACTGGGAATTACTAGGAGTTACTGGGAATTAGCACCACTCTAATGCCATTCCAGCTGTTCCAAAAATAAGTGTTGGGTTAGGACACTCCTCCTTCACTTTCATGAGCAACAAATTCTTGGATCAGCACTTCAGGAGTTCTTTTAGGCTCTTTGTATTTCATGGGGGTTTGTGGTTGGTATCTCACCCTTGAGGCTTGGTTGTACTTTGAGCGCAGGAAAATAGAATGGTTAAAAATGAATCTGATAATTTAGGAACTGATAAAGCTGACACACATTCACTGGCAATTTTGGGTATCCTGGAGTGGACAAAACACCACCTTTACTAAAATTAAATGAACTTTAAAGCACTCACACAATAGGAAATAATGATATTGGGAAGGTGTAATTACCTTTTTTATATGTGAAATGCCCAGTCCCCTTGGGTACCCAGACACAGCCAAGACAACCAAAGCCAATTTTTAAGCATGACTTAAAGAGATTTACAGATCATAATGGGCTTTGCCTTCTCAAACCCCTTCTATAATTTTTAAATAATCCCAGCAATCTAAAATTCAGGGTGATGTTTGAGGTCATATCCAGTCCTTGAACCGAAGACAATGAGATTATTCCTCTTATTAAAGAGCACACCACTCATCCCACGGGAATCTGATTAGGCTGGCAATGACATCTCCAACAAAAAACTGATGGAAGGATTGGTCAAATCCTCCTGGTTCACACTGAGCAAAGCAGCCCCTGCTCAGGGATATTTGGGTGCCCTCGCCCAAATGATTCTCATCATGTTTGCACAGCTCTCCTCATTCAGCAGACCCCAGGTTCATGTCCTGAACAAAACTCAGTCAGGGGGACGGGGGAGGCATTGACATGCTAATCCCACCCCACTGGCTGTTGGCTACAAACTGTGGGAATTAAAAAATCTAGATAAAAAATTAAAAATATAAAT